GTGTACTATTATTTAGTTTTTCAAAATTATTTATGCTACATGGCCTCTTATTAAAGGTTACATTACATCACTAAAATAAAATCGGCTCAATATTTAATAAAAATTAAAATAAAAAGATGACACATTAAATAAGCACCTTTTAAGAAACGTATATATAAAGTTGTTTTTTCACAAGTTAGAAAAATTATTGTTTTCACAAAAGTAATTTTAAAAAAACGCTTTTAAGAAATATATATTTAAAAATAATTATAAAAAAATTTGACCAAATAGTTGTTTAGAATTATTTTTTTAAAATTTATTGGTCAACATAAATTGCTTCTCATTAAAATTATTTTTTAAAAAAGTAAATTAATTTTAAAAATTTAACCAAGCAAATTATTAATCAGATATAACATAATTGATTTTAGAATCGTTTAGATTGAGTTTTGCCCTTTTGACTTTTTTGATAAGCTTATAAAAATGGATATTCTACTTTGACTTATTTTATAACTTTTTAACCTAAAAGTGAGTTAAACACATTTTAATTTTTTCAAACACCTTAAAAAAATTTAAAATGTTTAACAGCAAAAAGCATCTAAAGATAAGCTAATTCAAAACACCCCATATTATTTTGACTAATTTTTATCATTTTAATTAACTTGAAGTCAAATTTGAAGAAATCTTATCCGTACTAGGTGTTTTTACACTAAGCTAATGCAATTTTTACTATTATGTGATTTAATTAAGTAAAAATAACTATAAATTTAAACACATAACATGAACGTATTGACTTGATATAAAAACCTAATGCGGATAAATTTTACCCATCAAATTTCTATAAACACTCTTTTAATTGCTTCAATTACAAAAATAAAATAATGACTTAATATATAAATTTCTTCAAAATCATGGCCCATTATCAATCACTCATACATATTGACTTATTCATAACAAAAGTAGTTAATTACCATCACCATTGTTGCAATAACCACTTTCATCAGAAAAAAATAATGCCTATTATCTTGGATCAATTGTGTTTACAAACAATCATTTTTTTAAATTTTTTTTATCAAACTATCAAAATAATAATTTAACTCAAAGACATTTAAAATAAGCTAATTCAAACAAATTAGAAATGATAATTATGCTTCATATATCAAATTTTAAGTATACGAATATGTTAATCAACCAATAAGCTATCAATTGATTTTATATCAAATTAGTGATTAATGGTTGATAATTGGATAATGTATTGTCTCAATAATTTCACGCATCCTTCATTGACTTTCATTCACAAATCGATTGATTTTTAATCAAACAAACTATTTTTCTTTTAGCTCTATTGAAATTGGTAATTAAGTGATTGTAAATCATATTAAGAAATATATGAAAGTCTAAATTTTGTAGATACATGCATATAACATTTATTTCACAAACCTACTTATAGTAAAAAAAAGTTAGTACGATAATTTATAATGAGCTAACGATTTATCCAATAAATAAATTAAACAGTCCATCCCTATATCTATAAAATTTTAATTTATTTATCAATTATTTATTCGATAATCTAATACAATAAATCAATTTTGCAATTGACTTATGCTCTCAAATCTCCTTTTACTTGTTCACTTTTGAATTGAAACACTTATCAAGAAAATAATTAATGATGTAGTGAGTTTACTATTTTATCCTTATTAATTATTTAATGAATGAAAAATTTCTACATTTTTAATTGAGGATATAACAGATACAAAGAAATTATTCTTTATTAAATTTATCAAGTGAATAAATAATTAAAAATAACTATAATAAAAAAATGAACAAATAATTAGGAACTGCGTTTGGGTCAATAGTTCCCCGAAATAGTAAAGTAAAAAATGACTCTTTCAAGGCATAAAAAAGGGAATAGTAATAATTGGTGGAGATATGAATGAAAACTATAGTGGTGGGGGACAAGTGGAAATGGTGGGGAATAAAATTGGTAATCCAAGCAACAAAGCTCAGCTAAAAAGGTAACAATTTTAGACATCCATTTCTGTACCTTTGACTGTTGCCCCCACAACCCCTTCTCTCCAATACAGGTTTTTTTTTTTAGATTCTTCTTCTCTGCAGCACTCTGTTTGTGGGGTGTTAATTTCCCCATTTATATCCACTTCAGATCTGTCCAAGAAACTCTAAAATCTTTTTAACAAGTTCTCTATTTCTTGCAGTTTAGAGTGAGGATATAATCAAGATTCAAGGAAATGGAAGTGGGTCAGTTGCAGAGGAGCTTTGTTGAATACATGGCCTCTTTGTTTCGTGAGGTTAGTGAAAAGGGAGAATTCTTTTTGTTGGGGTTTTACAAGTTTGCTTTTTTTTTTTAATGATCTTTTGATTCTTGGGTGGTTGTGTTTTGCTGATTTTTGTTATATTGATTTGTTGTTTTGACTCAATGAATTGTTGGAGCCCCTTCTGCTTTTGAATTGTATTTTGCTGAAGTTTTTTGGGCCTGGGGTTCTTGGTGTTTTGTTTTTGTTGTTCTTGATCTTTCTGCTTTAGAGTTGATGTATTTTGCTGTTTTGGTTCAAAAGGGATTCTTGGATGGTCAGTTTAGTCAGCTTCAGCAACTGCAGGATGATAGTAACCCTGAATTTGTAGTTGAAGTTGTGTCTCTTTTCTTTGAAGATTCAGAAAGACTTCTCAATGATCTCACCATGGCTTTGTGAGTATTGACCCCCTTTTTGCTTTCTTGATCATCCATGGTAACATATTCTCTCTTTTCATTTTGTTTAGTTTGATTTTGTTGTGTATTTTCTCAGAGATCAGCCCAATGTGGACTTTAAGCAGGTTGATGCTCATGTTCATCAGCTCAAAGGTAGCAGTTCCAGGTACAGTAAGACCTTCGAGTTTTTGCAAATTTTATAATTTTTAAAGGTTGATTCTGCTGATATGATCTTTAGTTATTTACTCTTCTGAGGTGAAATTTTTTGTGTTATGACTGAGTGAACAGTGTTGGTGCTCAGAGAGTGAAGAATTGCTGTGTACTTTTCCGTAACTGCTGCGAAGAACAGAACACTGAAGCGTAAGTTCCATTGATTTCCGGTTCTTTTCCTATGCACAGTTTATATCGGTAGAAGTCTCTTGAGAAGTTGAAAGTTTAAGATCATGTAGTAAAATTGGTTAGTAACCTTGCTTAAAATATAATATTGAATTTCTCTAGTGGTTGTTGAGTAGGTATTTCTGATAAGATGAGCCAATCCAGTATGTACAGTCATATCGGTTATTCATACAATGGTGTCCTACTAATTAATTTTGACCAAGCTATGTTAATGTCTTGCTTTGCCTGGTGTATAATGTGTCCACCGAAATCGAGTATGCCTGTGTTTCCAGTTTAAGGCTATATCGAGTAGTGTATACCGGTGTGTCAATCGAATGTTATGACATGTTTAAGTTCACAAGTTTCAAAAGTCCTAAGCCACAAATGTTATGACATGTTTAAGACTACAAGTTCCAAAAAAATTCCTTTCCTTCTGAAACTTGGTGCACATAAATTGAAACGGAAGGAGTAGTCAATAAGATCAAATACTGTAGGTTTTCATAGTGTACCTTAAATCATGAGCTGTCTTGTGTCATTGAGGATGCAAGTTATTTACATGATTTGCTTCTTATCTTCTGGTTGATCGGATCTTTTAGGTGCTTGAGATGCTTGCAACAAATAAAACAGGAGTACTTGCTTGTGAAGAACAAACTCCAAACTTTATTCGAGGTAAGGATGATTCTTATATCCCATTACTGGTTGGCTTCTTCCATTAGCAAATAGGAAGCCCTCCTCTTGATTACAATACGGAAAATTTGCAGTTAAGCTACTAAAAATCTCATAGATACCTACGTAACTCACCTTCTTCTCGACAACAGTTGGAGCAGCAGATTGTAGCAGCTGGAGGAGCAATTCCCATGGTGCAATAACTCAATGCTTACGGGATTAGCCCTAGCTTACTGAATTCCGTTTGCAGAGAAGAGTTTTCTTTTAGTGATTTCCTTGTGGATTCACATTATCAACTTTAGCCATCAGATTCTCTAGGTGGTCTATGCTTGCTGTAAATTATTGATGAAACAGTGCTACGTTTTATCAACTGATACCTATCTCGCTGTTTTTAAATGAAGAAAAAAAGAAACCTTGCTATCTGTTCTATGACCTTGAGTTCTACTGATATTTGGCTTCTTTTTTAGCATTCATTATACGATGGAACACTGTTTAGAACAGATGTTGAGAAGTCATTCTTTTCTGATTTTCGAAAATGAAAAGTTTCATTTGCAAATCCCCATTGTTACTTGTGGACTATGATGAGTGTATTGCCAAATTGCATAAGCATACTGATTTCTTTCTATATCTATAATAGAAAGAAAAATCTAAGAATTATGTTGCAGACAGAATCTATGTGAGAAATCTAAAGAATATATGTAGCAGTAGAGGGAATAAATTTGCTGTTCATCCAGCTCAATAGGACTTTTTGTCAACTTATTTCAAATAGTTTTGAGTTTTTCTTATTTTCTTAAACAAAATGTGTTTTTACGCATTATTATCTATTTAACATCTTGTAGAATTTATCTATCCATTATTTACTTTTCTAACAAAAAATTTTTGAGCGGAAATTCAAATTGTGATTATAAAAGTTAAATATTAATATGTTAAATTATTGAGATTAATCGGGTCAAATTGGACGGGTCAAGACCAATCCACTTTTTAGCCCATTTGAACCCAACCCATTTGAGCCCAAACTAAACTTGAGCGGGTCAAAACCCAACCCGATTTCTATTCAATCCATTATAATATTTTCAATTTCAACTCAACCCGCTCATTTGACACCCCTACAATGTGTATATATGTACTTATAATTTTGTTTCAAAGCTAATATATGCATCTTATGAAAGAGGTGAGCGATATTTGGGAAAGAAGGAATGTATATATGTGTATATGTATCACAGTTTCAATTATAGTACAAGTTGTATTTAAGATACAGCATGCTTTTACGTCTCTCTTCTATCTCTCTCACTTCTCTCCTCTTTTACCTCTTGAATTGATCTCGCTTGCCTCTCTCTTCTATAAAACTATTGCTATGAATTCTTATTAAGCAAATTATAACACTATTATTCATAATTATAATTCAAACAATTGCTATTTATGAAAATTATTCTTTTAAAGAAAGCACTTCGCGTTGCAACTAGAATCAATTGTACAAGAAACAAATACTATAATTAACATACGAAAATAAATAGTTTCCCATTTCCTCTTCTGCTCATAATGTTTGTTTATGGTAAACTGACTACTCCATATCACTTAGTCTATTTGCAAAAATATTGTAATAACCTAAATGATCCACATTCTCTAATACTTTCACTGATTTGCCTTGTTTTTCGTCGATAATTATCTGTCCATCTACAGATTCATTTCCAGTCGCAGTGACTTCAATTTTCTTGACATCACAGGTTGATTTCAGTACAGAATCACCAGCCAAAATTACTGCTCCGAGTATTTCTCCAACAAATATATCCTGAAATGTTGCACGTTAGATGCTATACGAAGAAAGGCTTCAGGACAAATTTAGAGGGGATTATATACCATATGCTTGTATCTAGGATGTGTCTTTTGCAGATGCTGTAACTTTGACAGTAAACGCTTCACAAAAATTACTCCAGGTGTCTTCTTAGTTAGCTGAAGTACTGTTTTAAGAATCTTAGGAAATGCACTGAATTTCCGTTGTATGCCAAGTGGAATGAGAGTGATGTTGAGCTCTGAACTCAACACTGTCTTTGCTGCTAGAGGGTCAAGAAACATATTCAGTTCCGCGAATTTATTTGAGGGAACATTGAATACATTTCCCTTATCAGTGTTGTCATGATTGATGTGCCCTCCGACAACTAGTATATCCTGCATCATAATTCAACAGAAAAGAGTTTTTTTCACTTACGAATGTTGAGTATCACTCATAAGATCATATATAAGGATTGAAGGAACACTTGCCTGGATGGCGTTGGTCATATTTTTGCCTGCGAGAACAATCTTTGCTATGTTGGTCAATGGGCCGTTGGTTAAAATGGTAACCTTGGATCCTGGATCAAGCGATTTCACCACCGACTCCCATACTTCTAATGCCAGAGGTTGTCCGAGTTTAGGATGATCAGTGTCCCAAGGAGCTCCAAATTTTACAAAATTTTCCATTGTAGATCTGAAATTATTAACATCAAGCTGGGTATATATATCAGCAGAGAAGTATATTACAAACATGAACCTGAGGGAACTAAATGTTTTAGACACATAACATGGAAGGCCAATGCTTCCACTGTAGGCATATTAAGAGTAGACAATGTACCTGCGAGGACTACGAGGCAAAGAACGAGATAAACCATAGAGAGTATCTGAGTCGATAAATCCACCGCTGCCTTGTGGGATAACCTTGTTGTACTTGCAGTCACCAACTGCAGAGAAAACAGGATCGGACTGGTTCATTGCAAACATATCTCCAAGGCCCACGGGGATGTCATCACGACCCATTATATGAAGCAAATCATAGACTGAATCAATTGTTGCAGCATTTGCCCATCCAGTTGGACTCACAATTATAGCCTGAACAGAAGAAGAGATTGCATAAAGATAAGCATTGCTTCCTCAACTTAGTCCTAAACAGACCAAGACTTCATAATAAAGAGTTAAAAGACAACATTCCCGTTCACTCAACCAATGAGGAACACTTAATATCCCCACATGCTTAAAACTTCTGGTGTGTGGACAATATAATATGAGGTCCAACATAGAGTGAAAAAAGAGTCTGAGTATGACTTCAATACCGTATTAAGAATATGGATTGGTTCTAACTCAAATCGAAGGTGTTAAACATGGATCAAGCTATTATAGTGAAGACAAGGGAAGGGAATCATACCTTGAGATTGATTTCTTCAACTGGTAACTTAAGGAGATGTACGAGAGCTATAAAATCTCCAGCACTCATATCCATATCAAACACGACATTCTTCCCGAGATGCTTGCCCCTGAAATCTGGTTTGCGGAGTTCTCCTTTGTAATGGGGAAATTGTGTAGAAAAATTGAACAATGCTGAATTTTCTCTTTGGTTTAAAACCTGAAACCATGAAGAAACGTAGAAAAAAGTTGTTTCCTAATTTAGAATCTGTAAATACAACTGTTAAGATCTTCAACAAGAAGCATGGGCAGCCATTGATGAAGCTGCAAACTTCCCCAGACGAGACTGAGGATAAAAGCTACAATGCAAGGCTTTGAGATTGAATTGTGAAAAGTTTTATTACCTTCATTCATCACTCATGAGGTGTATATATACATGTGATTAGATGGATCAAACTAGTGGAAAGAAAATAACTAACTAACTAACTAGTTTGTTATGTAACTAACTATTACAATACTAACTATAAAATGGAAATACAACTAACTAACCAACTTGGAAGGAATAAGTAATGTACATGAATTAATTATGAGTGTTAATACCCCCCCCCCCCCTCAAGTTGGAGGTGAAGATTTCACAGCCAACTTGTGTAAGATGGCTGAATGTTTGATGCCAGTGAGGGCCTTGGTAAGGATGTCTGCAAGTTGATTGGAAGTAGACACATGATGCAAAGAAATCAACCCCTCCTGAAGTTTATCACGCACGAAGTGACAATCCACCTCAATGTGTTTAGTTCTCTCATGAAACACAGGATTACGAGCAATATGGATGGCAGATTGACTATCACAATGAACACTAATAGGAGAGGAAATAGAGACAGTTAACTCAGTAAGTAATCTATGAATCCAAGTTAGTTCTCCTACAACTTTTCTGAGTGATCTATACTCTGCTTCTGCTGATGACAAGGAGACTGTCTCTTGTTTCTTAGACTTCCAGCTGATAGGGCTGTTCCCAAGTAGCACTAAATAGCCACTGACTGATCTCCTTGAATCTGGACATGATGCCCAATCTGAATCACAAAAGGCTTGGACTGTGCAGTCAGGATCCTTAGACAACTGAACTCCTAGGGTAGTGTCCTGTTTGAGATATCTAAGCAGATGATAAGCTGCTTGTAAATGTGGAGCTCGTGGATCCTGCATGAATTGGCTTAAGTGTTGAACACTAAAAGCTATGTCCAATCTTGTATTAGTTAAGAAGTTCAGCTTGCCTATCAACTTTCTATAGAAAGTAGGATCAGACAAAGGGGTTCCTTCCTTGGCTTTCAATTTAACAGTAGGGTCTAAAGGAGAGGACAAAGGTGTATAATTGAAACAATCATACTCTTTGAGCAAGTCTAAAGTAAACTTCCTTTGAGAAATAAGTACCCCATCTGCTGTATCAAAAATCTCCAAGCCTAGAAAATAGTGAAGTCTTCCAAGATCTTTGATTTTAAAGGTGTTATCCAGATATGCCTTCAGATGTGCAATCTCAGTTGTGTCTGTGCCTGTTAAAATAACAGCATCCACATACACTGCAACAAACACAGCCAATAGACCTTCCTTTCTGTAGAATAAGGAGTGATCAAATTGTGAATGTGAGTAACCTCTGGATGACAATGCTTCAGTTAGCTTAGAGTACCACTGCCTACTTGCTTGTTTAAGACCATAAAGAGACTTCTTCAATTTACAAACCAACCCTGAATTAAGTATTTCAAGTCCTGGAGGTAATTGCATATAAACTTCTTCATGAAGATCTCCATGAAGGAATGCATTGTTTACATCAAGTTGAAACATGCTCCAACCTTTCTTCACTACACATGCTATCAAAGTTCTCACTGTGGTCATCTTAACCACAGGTGAGTAAGTCCCAGTGTAGTCAATTCCAGCCTGCTGTGTATACCCTTTCACAACTAGTCGTGCCTTGAATCTTTCTATGCTTCCATATGCTTTGTGTTTTACCTTATTCACCCATCTACATCCAACTGCTTGTTTGTTTGGAGGTAATGCAACAAGGTCCCAAGTATCATTAGCATACAATGCTTCAAATTCTTGTGTCATGGCCTTTTGCCATGCAGGATTTAGTGATGCCTCCTCATATGATGATGGCTCACTATCATGACAAATATTTTCAACAAGTGACTGACTATTAGATGCAATGACTTTAGGAGATATATGATGGTGTTTGGTAAATAATGCAGTAAGTGATAAGTTGTTATTGATAGTTGTGTTGGATGTATTAGAACTGAGTGATTTCAATTTTGGGATATTAACAACATAGTCTTTCAAATGTGATGGTATTTTGTTTTCCCTGTGTGATCTTCTCTGTACTATTGTGGAAGTATTGTATTGAGAAGATGTTGAAGAAGTAATAGGAGTAGTGGAAGGTATATCAGGATGTTGAGTAATGTGAGTAGGTAAATGAGAAGGAGTTGTATCAGTCACATTGTCATAATCACTTACACAATTCTTATATGAATCTGAAACAGTATAATCAGAAGATGGAAAAGACCTCAAAACAGAAGGAAAAGAAGAACTTACATGTTCATGGAAAATTACATCCCTGGAGATATGTAACTTCTTTGTAGCTAGATTCATCACCTTATAGCCTTTAGTTCCAAAAATATAT